ATCTCCGTGTATTTTGCTGTGCCCTCAAAACCTTGTTGTTCCGCCAGGCTGGGCTATCAAGGTAAAGATTTTAAATGGGTTTTTAAAAATGGGATTTTAAATTTGGGGTTTTAAATTGAGCCTATCATTTAATAATTTTAATTATTTTTAAATTTTGTCTGTCTTTGTGCTTTTAATCAGGCTGTACACCGCCCTGAGTCCTTCGGGAGAAGGGAGGTATAGAAATAAAATTAATAATAATAATAATAATAATAATAATAATAATAATAATAATAATAATAATAATAATAATAATAATAATAATAATAATAATAATAATAATAATAATAATAAAAATAATCATCATCATCATCATCATCATCATCATCATCATCATCATCATCATCATCAATGTCAGGTCAACATTTGAAGAAAGGCCCTACACGGCTTCTCCCTGACAGGAGCCTTTCTTGGAAACACACAGAGACAAACCGGAGCTTAACAATCCCTGGTGGCTGAGTTGCCCTAAAATGCAACACTGAAGCCCAAAGAACAGGTTAATCTCTTCGCAGAATGGTGTGTGCATGAAGGGTTCCCCCAGATCCCCTCCCTCCTTCCTGGCCATCCTGGGCCTTTTCTGTGATGGCTCTGGGGCTTTGCTTTCCCCCCTGAGTGCCCTGTGTGTGGAAAGGAGTGGCAGCGGAATATGGGTCCCTTTCCATTCCCTTTCCTCCTCATGTGGGATGAAAGGCATCCTTTATTTCTCTAATTTCCCTCACACGCTTTCTGTGCATGGGTGTGATTTTTTTTTTTTTGAAACTATGCAAAGTCCTGATGAATAGTTTTTGACTGAGCTTGATTTTGTGGTTGGAAACTGGCCATGCTTATTGCATCAGCCCTTCTGTCGTGGTGCCCTTGTGAGCATTAATTTTTCAAAATAAAGAAAACTTTGGCTTTAACTCCGTAGGAAGCTGTTTCAGTTCTGTGACATGTTCAGGGATGAAGTAGTTCCCGGGGGGTTTTCTCTTTAACCACTCTGTCAACAAAGTGTCACATTTGTTTTTCTTCAACCACAGGAGTCATGTATTCCCTCAGGGGCCAATTTCCAGAAAGGAACTTTTAAATGTCTCAATTCCTGTGACTGATTTAATTTTGGCTCTGCCCTATCATTTAAAACCGTACGGGGATTGTTTCTCTTCCATTTCTCTCCAGAGGAATGTCCAACAATCTCTGAATCCAAGAACTAGTTGAATTAGCCAGGAATCTCTCCTGACAAGGAGAGATTAACGTGGTCATTTCACCAATGGCTGGATTCACACTTGCAACTTTTAACCATGGTTTATTTTCAGAGGCTGAACCTGTTGGCTGATGGGTAAGTGAATCATGCATATTAATTCAGCAGCTGAAGAATCATTTATAAAGAAACAAGCACACAACATACTTCACCGAGAAAATGTGCTTGCAGCCCCCATGAGACAAAATACATGTCTAGGTGCAGTCATGACAAACTATAAAGGACAACAACCCCTCCTACACCTCCCTGTGCTCTCACCTGAGGGGAAAAACCACAAATTAAATGTCCACATTTCCAACTGAGGAGAGGTTTCCTCCTCCTCTCAGGACAAATAGATTTCAGTGAGACATGGCAGTAACATCATGAACAAGTGAAGCCATTTTACATATCAACCTGGCATTGAAACACAACAGCTAGAACTGAGAACCACCAAAGATCTGATAGCTAGGCACTGCGAGTGGAAACTGAGGACTATAGAGTGAGACAATTTTCAAATAATGGAACTGGTCATCCTATGCTCCTCATTAGAAGGATGCACCGGCCCATCCCATCAACTCTCTCACTCAACCCCTCAGTTCTTCCTTCTAGGTCAAATTGTACATATTAACATTCCCCCCTTCAGAGTGGTGGGTTTCAGCAGGTTCTGACCAGTTCTGGAGAACTGGTAGTGAAAATTTTGAGTAGTTTGGAGAACTGGTAAATACCACCTCCAACTGGCCACGCCCTCATCTATTCTCTGCCTCCTGAGTCCCAGCTGATTGGGAGCGAATGGAGATTTTACAGTATCCTTCCCCTGGAGTGGGGTGGGAATGGAGATTTTACAGTATCCTTCCCCGCCACGCCCACCAAGCCACACCCACAGTAAAAAAAATTGAATCCCACCACTGCCCCTCCTGATAAGAAATAGAATCCATCAACGATCAACCAAGATAAATCAGAACACAGGGATTCCAAATTGGTCCTTTGAAGCACTTGGAGGTGTCCTGGGGTTCAGAAACAGAGCCTTGGAAATGGGAATGTCACAGGAGTTGCACCATACCAAGTGCATGTCCACAACCAGAGGAACTGTCATCAGGTCCCCTTAAATCAACTTCGGGGTGATTGTGGCAAGAAATCAGATTACACCATCCACCACACTGTGGGTGCTCCACCCAAGGCAGGACATCTCAGTTGCAGACATCATAGCACACCTTATTTATTTATTTATTTATTTATTTATTTATTTATTTATTTATTTATTTATTTATTTATTTATTTATTTATTTATTTATTTATCTATTTATTTATTTATTTATTTATTTATTTTTCACCAAGCATGTATTTGATAACAAATACAAGTATAACATAATTATGGATACATGAAATGGATACGAATAAAAGGAAACATTAGGACAGGGATGGTAAGATGCTGTTGAGCATACCCCTTAAACACCTTTTCAGAATGGAGTGAGATCTATAGTAGACAGTCTAAGGTTAACATTTTGGTGGTTTGTGGAAGTAACCACAGAGTCAGGTAGTGCATTCCAGGCATTGACAACTCTGCTACTGAAGTCATATTTCCTGCAATCAAGTTTGGATCGGTTTACCATGAGTTTGTATCTATTGTGTGCTCGTGTATGGTTGTGGTTGAAGCTGAAGTAGTCATTGAGAGGTAGGACATTCTAGCAGATGATTTTATGTACTGTGCTTAGGTCAGATAGAAGACGGCAAAGTTCTAAGTTTTCTAAGTCTAACATTTTAAGTCTCGTAGCATAAGCTATTCTGTTGCGAGCAGAGGAGTGGAGGACTCTTTTCGTGAAATATCTCTGGACACGTTCGATTGTATTAATGTCCGATATGCAGTGTGGGTTCCAGACAGATGAGCTGATCTTGAGAGTTTGATGAAGTCACCTAAGGTGCCCTTTAGTTCCAGAAACCCCAGAAGGAAAACCCAACAAAGACATTGTTCCAGGTTCCCAGGAAGTGAACGGAAGAAAGAACAAAGTGAAGCTTTGACTATGAAATACTGAAGAACTCTGAAGATACATTTTAATTGACCTTAAGGCAATAGTCTTCTTAATAGGGAGCCTGGATAGCTCAGCAGACTAATGCATTGTAATTTAACTCCAGCTGTCTGCAATTAGTAAGTTCGAATCTCACCAGGCTCAAGGTTGACTCAGCCTTACATCCTTTCTAAGGTAGGTAAATTGAGGACCCAGTTTATGCGGGCAATAAGCTGACTGTAAAATATACAAAAGTATGAAGGCTATTGCTTAACGCATCGTAAGCCTCCCTGAGTCTCCGGAGAAGGGCGGCATATAAATCAAATTAAAAAAAAAATAGAACAATTTTGATATTTAGGCTCATTCAACTATTGCATTTGCTTTGTTTTACTGTATTCTTACTCTTTTTCTCTTTACTTCCTGTCTTCCAGCAAAGCAACGGTTTTACTAAAAGTTTCATCTATATTGGCCAATGTGTAGGTCAATCATGAAGATATAAAATGAAGTAGCCACTGGACTGGCTGTTTGTCAATAAGTCTAATTGATAGGCAGCCAATCTATTGATAGCACAGAATCATTCCACTTGGGGAATCTTTTTGTGCTACAAGGGAACGAACTGAGATTTTGTGTTCAAAACATTCTTTCTAGGGGCAGATGAGCAGTTTTTGGAGGTGTTTCATAGTATTTCTCAGTTGTCCCCAACACATAAACCACCCAGCCTTAACTCTCCAGGGCAAACCCTTTTCTATGTTGAGTCTACTCGCATCAGGCACCAGTAGATCAGCCAAGCACTCTACTGGGGGGAAACTACTAGCAATAACAATAGCAATAGCAATAGCACTTATATCCCGCTTCACAGTGCTTTACAGCCCTCTCTAAGTGGTTTACAGAGTCAGCATATTGCCTCAAACAATCTTTACCCACCTCGGAAGGATGGAAGGCCGAGTCAAATTTGAGCCTGGTGAGATTCGATCTGCCAAATTGCTGGCAGCCAGTGATCAGCACAAGTAGCCTGAAGTACTGCACTTTAACAACTGCGCCACTGCGGCTCAATAGAAATCTTCAGGGGAGCAACTGTGTATGACTGCTTCATTGTCATGATAAGAATGCATGTCTCTTCTTATCACCAATCCGGGGCGAACCGGTAGCAACCCACCAATGGTTCATATGTGTCCTCTGTTCAAGGGTTGCATAAGGCAAATATTGGCTAACCTGTGTGCTGACAAAAATTCTTGCCTCTCCAATCTTCCTAAGAAAGCAGGACTCTTGAAACTGCAGTTGTTCCAAAAGGAGCTTTTACTGAAAGGTTTGTGATAGCAAGAGATCTAGGCAAGAACTGAAGCTTCTCATTTAAAACCAGCTATTTAAAGCAATGCTAACCAAACCCCTCCCACATTACATCATTGCAGGGAAACAGAAACAGAAATTTCATATAGAGACTACCACAGTAATGCAGGAAACAGAAACTTCATATACGGATCACTTCATTCCTCCCCTTTCATCCCACTAAAATGCCAGCGTCCCTGTAGAAATTTCTGAGACCTGACAGCTACCAACAGTTTAAAAACATGAATATTAACTATGAATGTATTTTATTGTTTAGTGATTATCTTGGATTTTAATTTCATTAATCTAACTTTTTTTTAAAATAACCAAATTGTCAAATATAGGGAAACAAAGCATAAAAACCAATAAAAATTGCAATCAATAATTAAATATTATGATCCTAAGAAACAATTTAATTATCAGTCCCCTACTTTTATCACTAGATGTTCCTTAGTGTTTAGCTCTGGTCTAAGGATAATAATGTAGCACTTGGGGAAGAAGATGCAGCCCAGCAATCCAGCACTGGAGGCCAACATGGAGAAGACCTGCACAGCCACCATGGACTTTCCTTTGGTGCTCAGGTAGGTGGGCAGGAAAGAGACCCAGACGCTGCAGAAGACCAGCATGCTGAAGGTTATCAGTTTGGCTTCGTTGAAGGCCCCAGGCAGGTTCCTGGCCAGGAAAGCCACTATGAAGCAAATGACAGCTAGGAAACCCATGTAGCTTAAGACAATGTAAAACATGGTAGCAGAGCCTTCATTGCATTGAAGGATGATCTCTCCAGGCTGGGAGTGAATGTCAGAATCAGGGAATGGAGGAGATACTCCCAGCCACATGACACAGATGAAAATTTGGACACCGGAACAAGAAAGGATGATGGAGTTGGTCAAAGTCTTCCCCAACCACCTTCTCATCCTGTTTCCTGGTTTTGAGGCCAGGAATGCCAGCACCACTGTGATTGTTTTGGCCAACACAGAAGACACAGCTACTGAGAAGACAATGCTGAACACTGTTTGTCGGAGAAGACAGGTGGCTTTCCTTGGCTGGCCAACAAAGAGAAAGGAGGATAAAAAACAAAGCAGGAGGGATATCAGGAGGATGAAGGAGAGGTCCCGGTTGTTGGCTTTGACAATGGGAGTTTCTAGGTATTGAAGGAATATGAGTAAAACAAGGCCTGTGGTTAGGAACAAGAGTAGGGCAAAGGAGATTAGGATGATACCCAAATGTTCTTCATAGGACAGGAAGATTATTCTTTTGGGGATACATTGGACTCGGTTCCTGTTTGGATATTGATCATCTGGGCACTTGATGCATTTTTCCGTATCTGTGAAAACAAAGTAACATTTCTTTTATAGTCTTTAAAATGTCAAGAAAACCTTTGGATGAGATGTGATACGGTAAATTGTATACACTCTCACTCCTGCAAATCATAATTACAATTGGCATAAGGGCCCCACAAGACTGTGTGCTCTCTCCACTTCTCTTTTCTCTCTATACCAATGACAGCATTTTAAATGATCCATCTGTTAAACTACTGAAGTTCGCAGATGACACAACAATGATAGGTCTCATTCGAGACAATGATGAATCCGCATACAGATGGGAGGTTGAACAAGTAGCCTCGTGGTGTGACCGAAACAATCTGGATGTCAGGTTTCGAGGGCGTCTGAAATAAATTGCATTTCAAACAAAGTCTTTGAAGAAAAACTCCCATTTATTAAGCACGACATTCTAACTCCGACTCCGTCGCAGCCAACACTGACCTCCAGACCCAAAACCCTCCCTTTCCGTTCCCCACTCCCCTGCACTCATTGGCCATCTTCCAAGTCACTCTACCCCTAATCTACTGCTCCAGCTCAAATGAATTTCCCCCTTCCCATCCCATCTCCTAGGGGATATTATCTCCAGGGAAAATAAGTAGGTGAAAAGTCGAACATCCCTTTCTAGATGCCTCTGCTTCTCCTTCTTATGTCAGCACTAGAGTAAATGCAGCTTGAAGTGCTGACATTGGAACTGAACACACTCAAAACCTTAGAAATCGTGTTGGACTTTAGGAGAAACCTTCCCATACTACCACCTCTTACAATACTAGACAACGCAGTATCAACTGTAGAGACCTTCAAATTTCTAGGTTCTTCCATATCTCAAGACCTAAAATGGACATTTATCAACTAAAACCTAATCAAAAAACCACAACAAAGAATATTCTTTCTGCGCCAACTCAGAAAGCTCAAATTGCCCAAGGAGCTGCTGATACAGTTCTACAGAGGAATTATTGAGTCTGTCATCTGCACCTCTATAACTGTCTGGTTTGTTTCTGCAACCCAACAAGACAGACATAGACTTCAGAGGATAACTAGAACTGCAGAAAAAACAATTACTACCAACCTGCCTTCCATTGAGGACCTCTATACTGTGCAAGTCAAAAAGATGGCTGTGAAAATATTTACAGATATCTTGATTGTATCCCTCTGTTAATGTAATTTGGGATTGCATTGGATGTTTTTGGCTGCTGCCGTATACTGTTGGCTCATATTTAATTGGTTGTTCTCTAAGACTCCAAGATCCCTCTCACAGTTACTGCTATTAAGCCTGGTTTCACCCAGTCTATATGTGTACTTTTGGTTTTTTTTGCCTAAGTGTAAGACTTTACTTTTCTCTACATTGAATTTCATTTTGTTAGATAGGGCCCAGTGTTCAAGTCTGTCAAGATCCATCTGGCTCTTGAGCCTATCATCTAGGGTGTTGGCTATTCCTACCAGTTTAGTATCATTTGCAAATTTGGTAAGTTCCTCTTCTATTCCCTCATCTAAGTTATTTATGAAGATATTGAAGATTACTAGGCCTAGGACAGAACCTTGTGGTCAGTGGTGAAATATAAAATTTGTTACTATGGTTCTGTGGGCGTGGCTTGGTGTGTGTGGGGTAATGTGACTGGGTGGGCATATCCAACTTTTTTTTTTTTTAACTTTTAAAATAATTTTTTGGCCAAAGAGGTTGTAGAAAAAAATGCTTTTAAAAATAAATTTAAAAAGTCTCTGATGATCCCGCGGCTCAGTTAGGCATGGGGGGGGCAGGGATGTTTGCTATCGGTTCTCCGAACCACCCGCCGCCATCACTACCAGATTGGGCAATCCGGTCCAAACCGGGATAATTTCACCCCTGCTTGTGGTACCCCATTGTTTACTTCCCTCCATGTGAATGTGGTACCATTAAGGACTACTCACTGAGTACAGTTTGTCAACCAGTTACAAATCCATCTAATGGTGATGCTATCTACCCCACTTTTTTTGGCTTACAAAGAAGTAGATTGTGGTCTACTTTGTTGAATGCCTTGCTGAAGTCTAAGTATATTATGTCCACAGTATTCTGCTGATCTACTAATTTAGTCACTATGTTGAAAAATGAAATAAGATTGGTTTGGCATGATCTGTTTTTAAGAAGCCCATGTTGACTTCTAGTTATTACTTTACTCATTTCTAGATGAGATCTTACGTATTCTAGAAATACGTAAGATCTCCGACCTCCAGGTGTTTCGCTGAGCATTGAAGACCCTGTTGTTCCGCCAGTCTGGGCTATCAACATAATAGTTTTAAATTGGGGTATTTTAAATTTCTGGGGTTTTAAATTGAGCCAAATCTATTTATTTATTTATTTTATTTATTTGTTTAAATTTCTATACCGCCCTTCTCCAATGTAGGACTCAGGGCAGTGAACAGCCAAAGTATAAACAAGACATACATACAAACATACAAAGTCTAAAAACTGTTTAAAATAATTAAATAATTTTGGCCGTGATTAAAACATTCCAATTTAAAATCCATTTAAAATTTGACTCAAGCCAGCCCAGCTAGTTGGAATAAATGGGTTTTCAGGGCCCGACGAAAAATCCGGAGGTCTGTTATTGTACGTAGCTCTGGGGGGAGGTTGTTCCAGAGGGCGGGCGCCGCCACAGAGAAGGCTCTCCCCCTGGGGGTCGCCAGCCGACATTGTCTGGCGGACGGCACCCTGAGGAGGCCCACTCTGTGGGAGCGTACTGGCCGGTGGGAGGCTATTGGTGGCAGAAGGCGGTCTCGTAAGTACCCCGGCCCTAAGCCATGGAGCGCTTTAAAGGTGGTCACCAACACCTTGAAGCGCACCCGGAAGACCACCGGGAGCCAGTGCAGCTCGCGCAGGAGAGGTGTCACGTGGGAGTGCCTCGTCGCCCCCAAAATCCCCCGCGCGGCCGCATTCTGGACCAGCTGGAGCCTCCGGGTGCACCCCAGGGGGAGCCCCATGTAGAGAGCATTGCAGTAGTCCAGGCGGGAAGTGACGAGTGCCTGAGTGACTGTGCGTAGGGAGTCCCGATCTAGAAAGGGGCGCAACTGGCGTATCAGGCGAACCTGATAAAAAGCCCCCCTGGCCACGGCCGCCAAATGATCTTCTAACGACAGCCGTGCGTCCAGGAGGACGCCCAAGTTACGAGCCCTCTCCGTGGGGGCGAGTGATTCGCCTCCAATAGCCAGCGATGGCGTCAGCTGGCTATATCGGGACGCCGGAAGCCACAGCCACTCGGTCTTGGAGGGGTTGAGTTGGAGCCTGTTTCTCCCCATCCAGGCCCGCACGGCCTCCAGGCACTGGGACATCACTTTAAGGGCATCATTGGGGTGGCCTGGGGTGGAGATGTACAGCTGATGATTAAAAAAATTTAATCATTTTAAATTTTTAAATTTTAATCGCTGTTTTGTCTTGTGTTTTTAAATAGGCTGTACACTGCCCTGAGTCCTTCAGGAGAAGGGCGGTATAGAAATTTATTTATTTATTTATTTATTTATTTATTTATTTATTTATTTATTTATTCATTTATTCATTTATTCATTTATTCATTTATTCATTTATTCATTTATTTTAGATCTTGGCCGGGTTTTTAAATTATTATTATCTTTCCCAGTATCTTCCTGGGTCTTGATGTTAGGCTGATTGGTCTGTAATTTCCTGGGTCTGTTTTTTTTTTTTTTTTTTTAACATGGGGACCACATCAGCTCCTTTCCAGTCCTCTGGTAGCTCCCCAGTGCTCCAGGATTTTTGAAAGATCTGGTAGAGTGGTTCTGAGATGACATCTGTCAGCTCCTTTAGAACTCTGGGATATAATCCATCAGGTCTCGGTGATTTGTATTCATCAAGATCCAACAGGTGTTCTCTTACTTTTTTTTTGTTTGTTTATTTTAACTTTTATTTCTAGTCTGTCTTTTATAGAAGAAGCCCTGCAGATACCCTGATTCTGTCTCATGTAGGTTTTTGAAGGTGAATTTAACTGCACCCTGAAAAAGAACTGGGAGCTTGTGCAGTTTGGACAGGGGTGTACTATGGAAGAACATAGGGAAACATCACTGTGCCTGTGGTTGCATTCTAGGTCATCTGTAAATTTCAGGTGGTTACCAAGAACAATCTAGTGAGTATGGGATACAAACATAGAAACAGAAAATTGATGGCAGAAACAGATCTAGTGCTTCATTAAGTCTGCCTCTTTTTTGTTTTCTTTTTTCTTTTTTGATTTTCATTTAATTTTCTAATTTTTCTCAAACGATGGACATTTTTATCCCAACAATGTTTAAACTCATTTATTGATGATTGACCCACCAACCATGCTCTCAATAAACTGCTCTAAAATATTGGACATAGGATAAACATTTTCTAACACGGTTGGATCCATGGAGTTCCTCTTGGGAAGGGTTGCAACATTGCCTACTTCAGAGCAGGTAGCACAACCCATTCCAGAACAAAAATGAAACTATTCTGAAATTGAGAGTATCTCCAAACTATGAAGCCATCTAAAAATCCCTTAAAATGTGATTCTTTCAACAGTCGTGGGGATCCCTTTGTAAACAGGGCCTTATGTGCTGGTTGCATGGTAGGGAGCATCTTGATATATCCTTTTCTTGCTTTTTTATTTATTTTATTTATTTATTTATTTTATTAGATTTCTATACCGCCCTACTCCCGAAGGACTCAGGGCGGTGCACAGCCAAACAATAAAAACACATACATACAAAATTTAAAAATAGAATAAAATCAAATTAAATAATTTTGGCCCCGACAAATTTAAAACCCCAAACTTTTAAAACCAATTTAAAATTGAATATATAAAATACTAAAAGATATTTAAAAGATATAAAAGAGGGGGGAAAATTAGGCCAGGCCGGCCTGGTGAAATAGTAAGGTCTTTAAGGCGCGGCATTCTGTGTGAAATAGACAGCAATATAAATTGGATAAATAAATTTGAAAACTGAGATCTTAAGGAAAATTAATTCATGAAGGAATTCAAGAAGAGGAACAGTCTGGAATAGAATAGAATAGAATAGAATAGAATAGAATAGAATAGAATAGAATAGAATAGAATAGAATAGAATAGAATAGAATAACAGAGTTGGAAGGGATCTTGGAGGTCTTCTGGTCCAACTCACTGCCTAGGCAGGAAATCTTATACCAGTTCAGACAAATGGTTATCCAATCTCTTCTTAAAAACTTCCAGTGTTGGAGCATTCACAACTTCTGGAGACAAGTTGTTCCACTGATTAATTGTTCTCACTGTCAGGAAATTTCTCCTTAGTTCTAGGTTACTTTTCTCCTTGATTAGTTCCCACCCATTGCTTCTTGTCCTACCTTCAGGTGCTTCAGAGAATAGCTTGACTCCCTCTTCTTTTTGGCAGCCCCTGAGATATCAGAACACTGCTATCATGTCTCCCCTAGTCCTTCTTTTCATTAAACTAGACATATCCAGTTCCACCTTATCTGCAAAGTCTTTTTATCCTGTAACAAGGAAAAGGCGAAGAAATACATTTTCATCCTCTCTAGATTTGGCAACAATTTTAAAGAGAGAATGAATTCAACATTGGTATCAATGGATATTAGGTAGATTCGTCTTTTATTAGATGTCATCCCCACCACCCTCTGCTTCTGCTCCTTTTAATCTCAACACTGTATGTGATCCTTTCAGAACCATGACTGTATTCCTTTTCTGTTGGTATTATAACTGTTTGCATCTCACTATTTAACAACAAAGAAAATTGGAAAGATAATAAAAGGAAAAGGAAAAGGAAAAGGAAAAGGAAAAGGAAAAGGAAAGGTAAGGTAAGGAAAGGAAAGGAAAGGAAAGGAAAGGAAAGGAAAGGAAAGGAAAGGAAAGGAAAGGAAAGGAAAGGAAAGGAAATATCCACTTGATGATTTTATGCTGACTCCTCTGTTTGGCTTTCATTTGTTCCTTGAACCCAACTTCTCTCCCTCCCTTGTTCTTCTCAATTAGATATTTCAGCTTATAAAAATTCATGATCTTCAAAAATATTGATTGATTAAATCGATTGATGTATCTTTGGGCCTGTAATGTTAAGTTAGTTTGAATGAACAAAACCCGTTGATCTAAAATCATTCCTCAAGTTACAAAGAATTTACATGTTCTTAAGAAAGATAAATAAATATGGAAGGACACATCCAAACTGACAAATACAAGAGAGGTTTCCTGCTCACAACATCCTTCTTCCTACCTCATCCTTCAAGACACTTTTCTCTTCCCATTGTGGAAGAAATTAGACACAATGAAAAAAAAAAACACCATAAACTATCAAAAGTATATTTGTCTTTAAGATGCATATTGATCAGAGCGCTCTAGGTGAACCCTATAAGTTTCCTTATGCTGTCACCCACCTTTCTGAGTGGAGATAGTTCCCTCTGGACAAGGAACACAGTCATAGCAGCAAACTGGCTCTCCTTCACGAGCCTTCTTGACAAATCCAGGCTGGCATTTTTCCACACATTTGGACTGAGGCAAAGACTAAGAAGAAAAAGAAGAAATGGCAAAGAAAATATGTTGAGACTCATCATCTATGTAAGATGGGGATAGGTATGAACATTAGCCAAGTAGACTCTGGGTTTCTTGTACACAAATATGAAATCTCTGAATACTTCCAACTGGTTACAGGTGATACAATTGCAGGCAGATGCCTCTTTTAATTCCTCCTTTTTTCTTGGGGGCATAGAGGTAAAGGTAAAGATTCCCTTTGCACATATGTGCTAGTTGTTCCTGACTCTAGGGGGCGATGCTAATCTCCGTTTCAAAGCTGAAGAGCCAGCACTGTCCAAAGACGTCGCCGTGGTCATGTGGCTGGCATGACTAAACTCCAAAAGCGCACAGAACACTGTTACCTTCCCACCAAAGGTGGTCCCTATTTTTTCTACTTGCATTTTTTACGTGCTTCCAAACTGCTAGGTTGGCAGAATCTGGGACAAGTAATGGGAGCTCACCCCATTATGCGGCACTAGGGATTTGAACTGCTGAACTGCCAATCTTTCAATTGACAAGCTCACCATTTTAGCCACTGAGCTATCGCATCCCTTCTTCAGGCATATCAGATTGCAAAAAAGTACATTTCTACTTAATAAAGCCTGGAAGGGTGAAACTGAGAAAAGGTTTAAGCAGCAAGTGACAACAGGGGATTCCACTTCACAGTGGAATTAACATGTATTCCTCTATTTTTCATGTGAGGTCATGAAAACGTGTCCCTCAAAAAGTGTAAGTCAGGCATCTTTTGTTGCAGCACATGGCACATGAATCTGAGCCCTGTGTGGGAAAGGGATATCTAACACAAGGTATCCAACGCAAGGTCCTTTCTGTTGAAAGACTACAACGAGATGACACAAACTCACAGGGAAATAGATACCCATATTTATTATTGGCTTGATTTGCAGCCTCCCCAAGTGTCTTTTTTTTATTTTCTTTTTTTTAAATAGTCTTTAATCAAACTTTTTTAGTTTTAAAAATACATTTTCACTTTTACAGCTTTCAGTTATCGGTCTCAATTCAAATTTCATAATTTGAATTTGTGGCCTATCATTTTATACATTATGTACACCTTTGAATACACGGTATCTTTTACTATCTTCTACATTTATTCTTCTTTAACTTCAACTTAGTATAATATTCATAGCCACCAATCTATTTCTTGCCCTTGAGATTTTAAGTCTTGATTAGATTTTAATACTCCTTGTCCATCCGGTAGCTCATTATATGTCACCACCTTATTCCAGTCTAAGACGTTGGGGTATATCATAGCTTCCACGGTTGATAATCACCTCGGGATTTTTATACAATAATTTCACATTATTTTCCCGCAGACTTCTAGTAATGCATCTCTTACCTGATGTCTCTGATAATATGTATTAAATTTATTTTTCCCCTCCCAGATGAACGCATGCCAGCCAAGCTGTAAATCATGGCCTTCTATTGCTAATATCCTCTTATTTTTAAGTGTTATCCACTCCTTAAACCATGTTACAGCTGGCGCTTGGTGGTAGAGTTCCCAATCTGGGAGTCCGAAACCTCCCTTACTTCTACTATCTTGTAAGAGTTTAAGTTTTATACGAGCTTTCTTCCCTAACCAAATAAATTTTAGGATTGTTCTATTTAATTTTACAAAAAAAATATCTCAGTTTTATTGGTATTGTTTGGAATAGAAATAGAATTTTAGGTAAAATATTAATCTTTATTGTCGCAATTCTTTCAATTAATGTTAACTGTAATTTCGCCCAGGTTTCCAAATCTTTTTGTATTTGTTGTAGTAATTTTGTGTAATTATCCTCGTTTCTAGCTATCGTCTCTTGTATTGTACAAATTTTGCCATTTAATTTGTGGATGTCTCCTTTTACCTCTTCCATTTCACTCTTTATTTCTTTGTGGTTTCTCGTGATTGTTTCCTGAGTCTTCATCATTGTTTCTTGAATCATCATCAGCATCGATTGCATACTTTGTAGATTCAATGAAGAACCTAATTTCTCACTGCCCAGCATACTTTCCACTGAGCGTTGTCCTGATAGGGAGGCTGTCATCGAAGTTGTTTTTTTCCCTATTTTCATGACCGTTGTCATCATACTCGTCATTTTTAACGCTTTAAAAAATATTTCCGCAATACCATATAGTAATTACACTTATTTAATATAATTCCACTCCTCTTATCTCCATCAGTGATCTAATTTCTTGTTCTTAATCTATTTATTCTAATTTATTCTAGAGAAATAAATGGAGATAATTTGAATATAGAGATATTCTACGAAACGTAAAGCTAATTACTTTGAATATTATAAATTATAGGGTTTTTAATGGACTAGGGAATCAAAACTTAAATAAAGCATATGAGGCCATTTCTCACCAGTTTTATGGTGATAAATTGCAGAAGAGCGATTAAATGGCAACAATTTGTGTCCTAAATAATAATCAAATCAAATCTCAATTTGGGTATACCTGAATCAGCTTACAACATGGTCAGCATGATAGCATCTAAAGGATACCTTGGGCAATAGAAATGAAGCGTCCTTAACTGTCTAAGAAAATTATGAAAGTTTTACTCCACACATTCAATTCTCAGAGAAGGTTACCCATCTTTTTGACTCTGTTTAGCTCACTTGAAATGGGTCCTAATTGTTAGGGGGAGGGAGAGAAAAGACATCAATATTTTCCCCACCTTGTTGAGCCATTCTAGCTGTGACAAAGCATCTTGCTTGATTATAAGTCTCTGCCTTTCAAAACTCCCCAATTCCTTGTCGATGGGATCCTCCTTAGGGAGAACCACCCTAATAATGATCTCCAGATCTGCTGATACGTCTCCATTTTGATCCAAGTACACATTCATTAGGGAAAGATTGTACAATTCCTTCTTCTTTAGAAATGGATGGATCTAGAATGGAAACATTGAGCAATTTTGAAAGCAGAAATCTTGGTTTCTTATCTCACATGGTCTTATATTTGAATCTTTCTTCTACAGTTTTTTTTTAATTTGCACGTATTGTGAATTGGGAGAAGAAGTGTTACCAATATTTTCAAAACTCTAGAAAAAAGACTCGGTGTCAGGCCTGGAAGCCATCTTTTGGCTTGGAGCTTCAGGCCTGCCACATTTACTACTGTGGGAAACTGGGAGGGGCAATTGTATGGAGCGTGCCTACCATCCCTGTCCTAATGTTTCCTTTTATTCGTATCCATTTCATGTATTCATAATTATGTTTACACTTGTATCTGTTATAAAATACATACTTGACGAAATACATAAATAAAATAAATATAGCCATAATAACATTCTTTCTCAGAGAGTCAAGGACATCTTGCCCCGCACTTGGAGAGTTGGAACTGGGAGTTATCTCCAGATGGGACAGTGCTTTGATTGGGCCATGTGATGGACATGTAGGTGTTGGGCAGGGACTTGGACTTTCCTTTGGGTGGAGAAAACTTGGAACCTTTCAGATTCGGGTTTTCCCAGATGTGCCGATATGACATCTCTAATAAAATGGAACTTTGAGGAAACTCAAGCCTGAGGGGCCTTTCGTCGGGGGTGTTACTTGGAACCCTGACACTCAGTAATATTTCTCAATCATGTAATTTACCGACCAAAAGTATATTAACAAGATATAATTGATGAAAATTGTCATTCTAGGAAAGGTCACAAATCAATTAAAGAAAACCCACAAATAACTGGAGTATTCATAAACTCCTTGAAAACATCAGGGTGGTTACCAGAGAGCAAGGATTTGTTACAAAGAAAGTTGCAGGGCTAATCTTCATCCAGGTAGAGCAGACAGGAAAATTGAACTAATTCTATTTTATTATAACACTATACCATGTTTCACTGAAAATAAGACCCGGTCTTATATTTTGGGGGGTTCCAAAATAAGCACTAGGGCTTATTTTCAGGGAAACACCATTTCAGGGTGATCAGCCCACCTGGGCACCCCACCCCCCATTGCACATACAAGAGATGGGACCGATGAAATCTGGCAGCAATTACAGCCCGCCGGTCCCTTGGTTGGCACACTTTGGGGCTGTGCAGGTCATGCAGCGCAGGTGAGTTGATTCGCTGTCCAAGCAGCAGACTGATGCAAAAGTGTGAGATGGGAGGCAGGTGATCCTGACATGCCACATGGGCAGCAGACAAGCTGAGAGACACAAAGATGAACCTCTCATCACCATCTGCCCATGCCAGCCCACTGACCCTCAGCTTTCCTGCACTCCACTCATCATTCTTCTCCGGTAACATTACACTACAAACCAGAGCATACAAAACATTTGCTAGACCAATTCTTGAATACAGCACATCTGTCTAGAACCCGTACTGCATATCAGACATTAATCCAATTGAGCGTGTCCATAAATATTTCACAAGAAGAGTCCTCCACTCCTCTGCTCGCAACAAAATTCCTTATGCCACCAGACTTGAAATTCTGGGCTTAGAAAACTTAGAACTATGCCGTCTTCGGTATGACCTAAGCATAGCTCATAAAATCATCTGCTACAATGTCCTACCTGTCAATGACTACTTCAGCTTCGACCACAACAATACACGAGCACACAATAGATAAAACAGCTTTTAATTGACTCTTGGCTTTCCCACAGCCCATGCAGTGCATCCAGATCATGTGCCTCCCTCACTGCCTCTGCCTCCACCTGCTGCTTGGACAGGTAATCAACTCACCTGCGCTATGTGAGCTGTGGCTACTGCTAGACACAATTGACTCCTCCACACTCGCTGCCTCCTATGGTGGTCATGGCCACCCCTTCACTTGGGCTTATTTTGGGGGTAAAACTTACTTTTGGGAAAACACGGTATTAACAATGTGAAGGTCCAGATCTTTCATGAACCCTTTTGATGGTTGAAAAAAATAAGGGAGGATCTTTTCTGAGTTTCTTTCTCTGCCTGTTATGCAGCTGTGGTACACCCAACACCACTATCTTATCTAATCTTTCCCAACACAGCATCTTTTTCTCTGGTTCACCAAACCAATTCCCACATATCATCACATTTCCTTATTCAACTGTGTGAATGCTGATGGTATAACTTGATTTTAGCAAAGAATCAACAAAATCCTTCATGATGTGATGAATATGGATCTAATTAATTGAGCACTGGATGGGATGATCATTATGTCTTTAAAATTGTACTCAAATAAAATTTAATCTTACTGATAAAATTGGGGAGTTAACAAATACAATTAGACCTTGGTCATTGATTCTTTTTTATTTTCATTACTAAAGGAAGTAGATAAATCATGTTGCGTGATGCAAAAATTATAACAACACTTGGACAAAGTATCTTTGTTCTGCTTTTAAAAAATTCCCAGTTTCCAGAAAATAAAAATATGATTTTGTGATAGAGAGAGGTGCATAAGTTAAATCCAGTTGGAAACTAACTAATTTTTAGCATTTGGGACTTGATACATGATTGTATCTTGTATAACACAAATGAATGGGAGCCAAAATCTATATCTTTCTTTAAGCTTTCATTTGTAGATTCTCTCACATTATTCTATATGTGGAATGGTTACTGATTATAGTAAAGTAGTAGTAATAATTTAATGATATGATAACCATATTACTAATATGATGATAATGTCATTAATGATCCAGTGGAATCATACCAGGTCCTCTCGAAGGAAACTTCATCAGTTTTAGGCAATGACAAAGAAGCCAAGGAAACAAACAAAAGAAGTGCTTTTAGCCTTGAGGAAAGACAACAAGGAGAAGAGCTATGTTGGTTTACAGGAGCTTAAAATCAGAAGGAATCTCAGAACATTTGTTCGAATATACAAAACATCGTGATTGTAGAAGGGAAGATTCAGGGCTCTTCCAACAAGTACAAGATGTTGGACAGAAGCTTAAGATCTTAAACCACCAAGCTGAGAGAACATCAATGACCCTGAAAAGGAATTTAGTTTGATGTACCCTTGTTGGGACCCCATACCTTCCATGGTTGCAGCCTTGACACCCCCAACCTTTCTTCTCCTTTCTTTCTTCTCCTCTTGGATTTGGATACATCATTTAAGGCATGGACCAGAATCTTAATGACACTGTAATTGTAGCTTGAATTAATGATCCAAATCCTGTTCTTTTTCTCTTGAGTATCTAGTGGTGCTTTCTGGGTGCATCTTCTCCGGCCTTTGACAGAAAAGATGTGTTTTGAAAGAGAACAATGAAAATATTCATCTTGAAATTCAGATTCCACAGAGAACTCTGTTTTATAGGCATCATCTCTGTTCCAACTTTCTTTCCACTGAAGAGGAAAGCTCCAAACACTATGGACATACTTGAGAGTCGTGTAGTTTTGAAATATATAAAATCCAACCATTGTCATGATCCAGACTTTCCCTTCAATGGGTCCTGGCAAAGCTTCAAGTGTTGAATGGAAAGGAAGAATTCTGTCCCAAATGGAATCATTCTCTATGAAGTGAACAAAGACATTGACTTGTTTCCATTTAGAGAGGGCATCCCTGAGGGGTACTGTGCTTCCAGTCATTGAAAATCGTTGTGATATAACAACACAAATTCTATTCTTGACAAGCACGGGAGTAAAAGTTCTCATGAAATTCTCTCCCTTTTCTGTGTCTGGAGCAAAGACACCGATCAAGGTCCATCTGAAATGGAGGAGCACTTGGACAATTGCTGGGTACTGGATTCCTTGTATGGGGAGCATCGGATGGAAAAAAGGGTATTGACTTTTATCACTCAGAGCCTCTGAAACAATTCTAACACTGGTCTGAAAAAAAATAATAATGAAGAATTCTGTGTTATACTTGTGGCCCCACCAAGTCCCAATTTTTATGAGTTGGATTTTAATGAATCTTACTCTTTTCTCATGTACATATTAGAACAGTTTCTTGTTGATTAGTCATTAGGCCATATCAAGATACAAAATAGAAAACAGAGAGCATTAACAAAATAGCATATAAATGTAGATTTTTTTTAAAAAAAATAGTGCAATAGAATGAATATAAAGAATGAAAATAGTATTTCTTTACGATCCTAGAATTTACCACAATCAGACCATAATTTCCTTCCAAAAAGGGTT